CCACCTGCATACTAGAGAAACACTCTAGGAAGTCCAGTTGGATATTCTAGGGTTACTTTAATGGTAATAAGAAAGGCCTAGGCATCTTTTGGGAGAAGGATTGGGGTACCATCAATAAGTACTCATACTGCGCCTACATTGTTCCAATCATCCATGGATGGATGAGCCTCAATCCAGAGCTCCAGGTGATGCAAGATGGTGCTCCTGGGCATGCCGCAGGCATCACCATGGCTGAGTTTGCTGAGCGTGGCATCTATCCTATTCACTGGCTAGTATACTCCCCAGATCTTAATCCTATAGAGACAGTCTGGTACATGATGAAAGACTATATTGAGTGGAAATGGGGTTCTGATTATAGATTTTCCTATGATGAACTGAGGGTAGCTGTACAGGAGGCATGGAATACGATTTCTGAGGAGGATCTTGATGCTCTAATAGATAGCATGTCGGCTAGGTATGATACAGTGATAGCTGCTCAGGGCAGCCATATGAAGTACTAGCCTATTCGATAAGCTATCTTCTCTATTCTAGTTAGATAACAAAACTATACATATAAGATGAATTACTAAGCATAATATACCACCTCTGCAATCTCTAGACCTACATTGACTATTTATACTAGCAACCACAGTACTATGCCTTTGGTATGGTATGTATGGTAACTTGGAAATATAGTAAAACCTCGCTATTGGGTAAGTGTTAGAATTAGGTAAACTATCAGCATAGGGTAAATTTCCGTACCACCATCGAAATTTGTATGGGAAATAGAGAAACCTCATGGTTTCAGGTTTTCCCTAAGCCCTACCTATACCGTGTTTCCTCACGTGGTATATGGGCCCACATGGTACACGATTTCCGAGTTTTGCACCTATGACAATTGAAGCTATCTAGATAGCTGTACACAGTGAATTGGCTTGAATTTTTAGAGGCTTAATAAATTGATATAGATGAATCAATAGGATAGATAGCTACTGCCTATATCGTGTTGGCAGTGTTGGTTGCCTATCGCGATGACTCTAGGCTGGAGTAGGGACTGCAGAATGTACATCTGATTTCTCCAAATTAGAAGACTCCTCCTCCTCCCATTCACCTGAGGAACTATCGATTGAGATAGCTGCATCTTTGGGTAGCGACTTGGAAGCTTCCCTGGTTGATTTGGATGGTGTAACATCTGGCTAAAATAGCTGCTTTCTGATCGGCTTCTAGTTATTCTAGCAACAGTGACCTGTTCCTTCTTTACCTGTGGAATAGGAGCATTCTGGGAGGTCTTAGTAACTTTCTTCCGTGAATTAGGCCCCTTTTTAGCCCCCCTTTCCACTTCCCTTGCTGCTGCTAGCTCACATACCTACTGGATCTTCTTTGGTGAATAGAAAGTGGCTCCGCTAGTCTTCTGCTGAGGAACAGGGAAGATAAGGGCTTTACCATGCTTCTTCTTCTTCTTTTCATTAATAAAGGCCTCTCTGAGGTGCTTGTTCTCTGTTTTTAGGAGGGAGACTTGTACTGCCAAATGATGCATACTGTGAGAGAGTTTCTGCTGGTCTTCCTTCCTCTTTTCATCATGAACTTCTTCTATTACACTTCTAACTAGTCTCTCTATCTTCCTCCAGTCATTAGCACTTAGAACTAAGCTTCCTAAATCACCAATGGATGACCTTTCCTCCTTTTTCTTGAATTGATCAAGGATAGTAGCTGGATTAAAGGGATGAAGGCTAGTACAACTAAAGGCCTTGAGAACCAGTTTCTCAGTGAAAGTATAGTCCCAAGCAAGGTAGAATAACTGGAAGAAGTCCCTTTTCATGATAGCTAAGAGGCCTTGGCATCTAAACATGAAATCAGCAAGCCTTTTACTATAGAATATACTCAGGGGCTTGAACATGCAGATATCTAAGGATTGGAGGCTGTGGGTTGAATGAGAGGGATATATGGCTAGCAGAATCCTATTCTCATCACAGAAGTTGAGAAAATCCTTGGAGATATGAGAGCTGTGGCCATCAAGGATAAGTAGGTGCCAGGAACACCTAGCCTTCATCTTTGTCTCCCTATCAAAGACCTTCTCCAGCCACTGAAGCCCTAGTTGATTGTTTATCCATCCAGTAGATGACGAGGTGAAGAAACATTGATGAATTGAGGGGTCAAAGTCTTATAACCAAGTATCTTGGATATTGCCACTTGCAGCCTGATAGATCAGGGCTGGAGAGAGAGTAGAACCATCAGCACAGATACAGGCAAGTATCGTTATCCATTCACAGTTTCTGTCCTGGATCATCTGCTTAATCCTTCCTTCTTCATATAGCTGTCGAGAAAAGATATGCTTCTGTTTTGAAAGGATACCAATTAGGAAACCTTTCTCATCCATATTGTAGATATGCCTAGGATCAACATTGTATTCCTCGATTTTCTATTACATTAACTTGAAATATTGAGTATATCTGACTTCCGAATCAGCCTTCTTCCTTGAGGCATCCATTCCTGTTACCTAGGTAGATAGTAGTGCTTCCTCATGTCTCTTCACAAAATGATCAGCCCATGACTTTCCGGCATATTTTCCCGATATATCTTCAGCAAATGAGCGTATCATCTCCCTAGTAGGTGGAAGCCCTCTCTGTATCAGGTCAGATATATATTTTAACAACTCCTTCTCTTGCCTTGGGTTGAGTAGCTGTTGGTCCTGATTCTTCTGGTCAATAGAGCCCTGAACACCCCTCCATCTTTTAGACAAAGTAGAACGATCAACGCTGTAGGCTCTTGCAACTTGAGACAAATTAACTTTTTCTTCAAGCTTCAGCGATCCCAATGCTGCAATCGCATCATCAATTGGGGCCATATTGGTGGAGTTATCGCTCAGTAAATTGAGGGGTAAATGTGAGAAAGTGTGCATCATGTTGCGTTACGCGAAGAAACACGGTATATTTCCTTATTCCTGAAGCTCCTAACTAGCCATATTTAGCACTGGTGATGCCGCATTTAGCGGTAAGATTGCCTTCCTAAGCTTACAGGGCCTGATAACCAATGAAATTGGATTATATAAGCATATACAGTATAGGGAAACCTTCGGGAATAGGGTAAGATTTGACAGCAACCGTCAGTTTCCCTATTGCGGGGTTTTACTGTACTACAACACGTTTCGAGTCTAACCCAACTGCCTTCCTTTACGAAGTGCATGAACGCTGGTGCCTCCACGGCTCTCCAGTTGTTTCAAAAATCCGTCCTTCTCACCAGTGGTTTCAAATCCATCCTTCTCCATCACCCGCGTCTCACTCAGCAACGCGGAATACTTGAAAGCTTCCCCATGCGCCTCTTTAAAGTGCTTTTTTGAGCGCACATTCCCTTCCGAATCGCCCAAGACAGAGGGGACACCAGAATGATAACTTCCTCTAGCCAAGAGCGACGAAAGCACGAACGTTTCTGTAAGTGGGCTTCTCTGCTTCCTCGTCCTCCGGAGTGGTCGTCTCATACATCATCCGCGAATGTTTAGACCATTCAAACGTCGAGTATGGTTCCTTGTGTTGCTTTGCTTTGGCGCCTGGCCCGATTACCACCATGATGGTTCCCCCATCCGCACTCTCCAAAGCCGCAGCCTCGCCAGAGCCGTCGAATCGAGGGGACCTATGGTTATCGTGCAATCACATGAGGAGTCTTCGCCAAACTACCCTACACTAGTGAAGGAGCCATCGTACCCCTTTACAGAACACGGTACGTCACAGGGTGCACACATTGGCTTGTTCCAATCATAGAGGCTTGAACTGATACCCCCTCCCAAGTGAGGACCCAAACTGTCAACTATAAACCTGCACACAACGCTCCACGCACATACATCACCATATCACTTCCACATACAGACTAGGAAACCGCCCAATCTTCCACCCATGACAAGCTCCACATACCCATTCCATCAACACATTAACGAAACAAGTCAAATTCCTCGCAGCGAAACATTGTTCATCTTCGAGGAGGGAAGAACCAAAGGCTGGGGATTCATGTGATATAAACAAAAAGATGCTGACGTCAAGCTCGCCAGGGCAGGGCTTGCTCAGCTTGGCCTGAAAGGCTAGTCCACGATGCACCTGGCGGAACCAGAGATCAGGTTAGAAAAAGATTTGGTCAGAGAAGGGAACATGTTCAGTCAAAGAATCTCGCTCAGCGGGAGGCACTTGGCAACGATAGTCCAAGCAAAACCACACCCTGATTCATCACAGAGCCTGACCAGGCACTGGCTTCCTAGCTGGGATGGATGACAAGTTGACATTAGGGTTCATGGGGCTGGGACCGGGAGGAGACGCGCGCCGTGCCATCACCTGGCTGGCCGAGTTTGAGCGTGGGCGTCCCATCTGGGGAGGTGGCATGTGGTGCTGGGGTCCACCACCATAAGGGCCAGGGGACATGGAACGAGGAGGTCCGGCGTATGGTGCGGTGCTGTTGGATCTGGCACGCCCAGCGACCATGTTCGGGGGCATGTTACGCGGCCCTGGGCTCATGGAGCGCGGAGGTCCAGGAGGCATGTTCCGAGGGCCGGGGCTTGTGGAACGAGGACCGGGGGGCATGTTACGCGGACCTGGAGACATGGAGCGTGGAGCGGGGGACATGCGACCGTTGGCCGGGGAGAGAGATGGCGGGTGAGGAGAGCTCGGTCTGCTCGAGGGAGTCAGGGGTCCGGGAACTCCTCCTGGACCCATTGGAGAGCCCAGAGGGGGTCCACGGGCACGAGGTCCTGGCGGGCCTTGACGAGGCGGACCAGTGCGCGGCTTCACGGGGTGCTTGGACAGGCAGGTTCGAGGGACAACACCTTGCTGCGAACGGTCCATGCGAATGCAGAGCGCCTGTAGCAGGTTAGCCTGGATAGTGCTGGAGGTACAGGGTACAATATCCCACTCACCCATCCGTCGTCATATTCGTGCAGCATGCGGACCAACTGGCCGGCACGAAGTTCAAGTTCGTCATGCATGGATGGCTTGAAGTCGAGTTGGACGCGGTGGACATTGTTGGGAGGAGCTGGGGCAGGGCCGTGAGCGGAGCCACCTGCCACCGCGATCGGTGGAGGACCTGTGGGTGCTGGGCCGGGGGAGGCCGGAATGTCATCAGTCCACGCCGGGCTGGGAGGGACCATGCCGCCGTTGACGGGCGGAGGAGCCGGGAGATCATTCCGATGGCCAGTGGCCGCCATAGCCACGGCCGGAGCTGCAGCCGCTGCAGTAGCAGCAACTATCGCCGGCGCTGGATCGGGAAAATCTGGTGGAGGTCCAGCGGGAGCGTCGGGTTGGGGAGCAGCCGATGGAGTAGAAGGATGGCTTTCCTGAGGCACATCGCTGATGGGGCTCGATTCGAAGGGATTCTGAGGAGGGGTATTCGAGCGGGATACCGGGTCGTTGAAGGGATTCTGAGGAGTTGCTGCGGCGTTTGCAGCCCCGGGGCGTTCCCAAGGACTGCCCTGTTGCTGAGGAGAGAGTGCTTGATCCTGGGCGTGAGAGGCCGGAACTGCAGCGGCAGCGACTGGCAATGGGTTTCCTCCACTCTTGCGGTTTTCAGCGAACGTGGGCGAGAACTGGGTGACGGGGCGAAGACTGAGGCGTGGTGCGGTAGACATGGTCCGTTGGGTGCGGATGCTAGGGGCAGGCTCGACTATGGGTGGTGGGAAGGCATTTTGCATGGCCGACTTCTCGTCGTCGATGGATTTTTGCTCTGCGACCTTGTTCTTCTTGCGGCGGTAAAGGAACAGCACACCGACAAGGAGCGCGCCAATTGCGACGAGAATGCCGAGGGCCAGACCGGCTTTGGCACCGCCAGACATGCCACTACTGGCGGAGGTAGACTCAGCAGCCTGAGCAGCCCCTGTGGACGTGGATGAAGGCAGCAGGGCAGTGTTTGTAGCCGCTAGAAGAGTCCCTGCAAGAGTGGGTGACGAGGTCGCAACCATCAACGTCGATGCGGTTTTCCTGGACGATGTTTCGATGGCATCGTCGGTTTCGCCCTTGGGAGTTTGCTTTGCGGGACCTGGAGGCCGAGTCGTAGTGGGTTCTCGAACCGCTGGGTCGATGAGTGTCTTTGGCGGCTGGGTCACCCAGACGGCATCGCCTTCGAAGGTCTTTGGCATCGTCTTGATAACCACCGAAACCACCGTCTTGACGCCGTCCCCGTTACGGTCCTTAACCTTTGTGAAAGTGTCTTCCTCATCCGGGTCGCGCTCGAGCTGTCGCAGCACGGGGTGGTGCAAACGTCCGGGATGATGGGCCATGTTGGGAAGATGGCCGATGCAATGCAGGTGGTGCTGGAAATGCCGAAAAGACGGTGTCAATGCGAAGAAGCAAGGTGAAGACGTAGAATGACGCTCGACGTCCTCCAAGTGGCTGCGTTGCAAGGAATGTGTCGACGTCCCCAGGCTGACTGCTCAGGGGCGGGTGGAATGTAGGTCAACTACCCTAAGCACTGAACATTAAGGAGTGAATGGGTTGCAAAAAGAGCGAATGGCGACGGCTGAGGTCGATGAACGAAGGGCGAACGACAGCCGGGTCGCGAGTGAAGCAAACGCAGGGAGTGGGTGAGGGTGCAGAGGGAGGGTGAGGTGGAGAATGGGCGCAGGGCAGCGAGAAGAAGAGGACCCCGACGAAACACGACAGCGTCTTTCGCTTGCTTCGCCCGTCACGTGTGTGAACCTGAGTACCTGAGTAGCCTAGCTTGTTTATTTCGCCATCCCATGTCCTCGCGCTTGGGCCCAGGCACACTCCCGCGGTGATTGGTTGTTTCATCAAATTGTCCCGCTGCCTTGATGAGCCCGAGCTATTTTCGTAGACGGCATCCTCACCATGCGAAGCCACCAAGAGGTCATCAAATACATATATGACCTAGGTAATTATTACTGCCTCTGATTGCCTCTTCCATCTCCTAGTCATCCTCCTGCTCGTGTGTTTCACCAACAGCTGCTGGGCTGCATTTGCCGCGTTTGGGACTGTCAAGGCTCCTCGCCGTGCAAGGCTGACCAACCGACACATCGCAATTTCGCCCTCGTATGTTTGCATCTGATGTTTTGATGTTTTTGATGTTTTGACCGCAGAGAGGCTGTGTCCGTGCCAATAGGAGACATCAAAGTTCAAAGAAGTGCAAATAAAATGGAAAACGAGAGGGAGCTGCGTGTCAGGAAGTTCGCGAGAACAGGTGACGGGGAGATGAGTGGAGCGTGCCAAGCGAACGGTTGGAATCTGCCAAGTTGCGCTAAACTTTGGGGGGACTAGGGGGGACAACATCCGATAGACAGACCAGGGTCGTGTGTTTGCAGACCATGACGCCTCTCCACCTTTCTTCGTGCTGGCAGAACATTCTATCAACAAGTATCCCGGATTCCGTTCTATTATACCATGATGGTTGGTTCCTAGAGATTTTGACTTGACCCCATTCCTCCTGTCAAAGCCCCTTCATCCAAGGAGACGTTCGCCAGACGAAAGGAAAGAGGTCGAAGCATGCGACGCATATCTGTTTCTCATTATCCTTCAATACAGTGTTATGATTGATTGACCATGTCATGTCGACCATCGAATCTCAACTCCTCCTCGAGGTCAACAAGGCCATCCAGGGCCGCCACGCCCACCAGCTTCAATCCATCCTGGTCATCGAGCCCCCATTCCCGCCAATATACGAGCAGTTGATTGCCCATCTAAAAACGAAGTATCCACGAAACAACCCTTCATCGGAAGAGAACCTCGAACACATCGTCCGCGCCAATGTCTCCGAGACCGAAGAGGGCGAGGATGAGCAAGGGCGCCCCGTCCCCAACTGGAGTCCCATGGTCTCGTTCCTCGCCTGCTGGATGTCCTTTATTCGCGACGTCAACGTCGAGAACCTCTTGGAGACCTACGAACGCCTGAGCGATCTCCAACAAAAAGCCAATTCGGCACTTCAACACGCCACAAAGGGTATTCTGATCCTCCCCACCGTCATCGCCTACGCCAACGTCTTCTCCCGCGTCGCCATCGGCCTGGACAAGCGGCCCGAACTGATCGCCCACATCGTTTCGGCGGCCTCTTCCTCCGACGAAGGCCGTGCGGAATCGTTGCCGGAGAAAGCGGCAAACATCCTGCGCAATGCATTCACCACATGCCTCAACGACCGCAACACGGCACCGCGAGGCATCACTCCCCAGGGCAAACCAGACGGCAAGAAAATTGGCATCTACAAAATGGCCAATATATGCCTGAGGATCTTGTTCCAGTGCCAGAAACTCGACAACTGCCAGACCATCTTCAACAACATCCAAAACTCATCTCCGCCCCTCCACATCTACCCGGCGTCCGAGCGCGTGACCTACCTCTACTACCTAGGCCGCTACCACTTCGCCTGTACGCACTTCTTCGCCGCGCAACTCGCCCTGCAACGCGCATACGACGAATGCCCCACCGTCTCCTCCTGTAACCCCCAGCGACGCCTTCTCCTCATCTACCTCATCGCCTCGAACCTCCTCCTCGGCCGCCTCCCTTCGCCATCCCTCTACACGCGCCCGGAAGCCGTCGGCCTGCGGGAACACTTTGAGCCCCTCGCCAAGGCCATCCGAACCGGCGACCTCGCACTGTTTCGCCGCATCACCTCGCTCGACCTGTCGCACCCATCCGCGCGCTTCCTCTCCCGCCATCGACTCTTCTACCAGCTGGCAAACTACTGCGAAATCTTTGTCTGGCGCAGCCTCTTCCGCCGCGTGTTCCTCTTGACGGGGAAACAGGGCGACACCGATCGCAGCGCCCCGACGCTGGATCTCCACGCGGTCCTCGCCGCGTTCCGGCTCCTGGAGACTCGCGCACGGAATATGACGCCTGCGATGGAAAAGGCGGATTCCGGAGGACCGGGAAATCGACATATTTCGCTCGCGTTGGCGGATTTTAGCACACCATCGGCGGCGGCGGCGGTGGACGGGTACGAGTATGTGGATGAAGACTTTGACGGCGTAGAAGGGGTCGTGCCGTACGTGCATAGTCCAGATATCATGGAGATGGAGGCGATTTGTGCGTCGTTGATCACGCAGGGGTTTCTGAATGGGTACATTTCGCACAAGTTGAGCAAGTTTGCGGTCATGGGGGCGAGGAGGCCGGGTGGGGCGGCCAAGAATGGGTTTCCGAATGTGTGGGCGGTGATTAAAACTAGGAGTGGGGAGGAAGTGTTTGGGTGGAAGGAGGGTGCAAAGGGTGGGGTTGGGCCGGGCATGGGAGGGGGAACGGTGGTGAGACTCTCTGGGGCAAGACCAGCGGGGGCATAGTAGGGGGTTCCGGATTCGCTAATTCGATGGTATGTCTTCTTGTGAGCTAAAGTTGGATCGACATTGAATAGTTTGATACCCTGGCGAGCGGATATGGATGCACCTGACAAAGGAGACAGGGAAGGACAAATACTAAGCTTTTCGAGGAAGCAAAGTCCTACAAAATCTAACAGTGATTTGACCGATGTTCTGTCTCGGAGCTGCTCGAACTAGTCCTAATAGTGGTTTCGAAGGCGATCTTTCGTGAGGATAGATAGCCGCTTGTCCTCCAACCATCCAGTTCGTCAGTCCTCTGAGCCAGGGACGCCCGTGTCCGTCGTGTGATCTTGTGGCAAAAGGAGCCGTCTCCGAAGGCTCCCGATCCTCGGCGGACGTATGGGCCCCAGCTTAGGCACGTTCTCAGGGACTTATCGACCTTCTGGAGCAGGCGACCTGGTTCTACAACGCTTCATCTGGGGCATCCTAATTAGCAGGAAGAACAGCGAAAGCTTCCATCAGACTAATGGCCTACAGATACATGAACCCCTGCACATTGGCCTACTGTCTTCCTTTCCATGGCCAACGTGCTGCTGCTTCGGGTTCACTGCTTGCCATGATATCAAGCCCGGCGCCTGAGTACGACCCAACACTCCTTGGCTCTTTTAGGCACGGCTGAAGAAAAATCGCGTGGGGTCTTGGGCTAGCTGGCAATGGCCTACCTTCCGGTCTGCCTTCTAACATTTCTTGGAGAGCTGCTCTCTTCTCGCTAATCATCGTCATCAAAATCGAACCCAGTGAACTGCGCCACTTGCTGGGGATCGACCCTTGGTGGATGCGCTGCGTGGTCTCGTTTCTCTGCTGGCTCTGCTTCCTGGGCGTGACCTTTGGCTTCTGCTTCCGCAGCCTCAGCTTCCTCTCGGGCTACATGATCCATTTCCTGCTTGGTGGGTGCGCTCTCCGTCCAGGGATCCTTGCCTCGGTCAAGCAGGTGTTGGCATGCCATGAGATTCCCCGAGCGGATCTTGCTGTCGTCGGGCCAGGGTACCCACGAAAGCCCCTTCTCGCGCATGTCTTTGAGCCACTCTGCTTGTTGAGCCGTAACAGAAGCGGTTGGCGCATTCTCCTTAGTAGTATCGCCGGTTGGGGCAGGTGCGGGACCGCCGTGTGCGGCGGGAGTACCAAGGCCATTCGCGGGAACTAGTGGTGACGTGACATTACCCTTCTCCTTGACCTCTTCCGCCTCCGAGGTGCCTCTGGGGATGTGCTCGCGATAGGTGAGAGGGACGGTATGCTGAGAAATGTGCTTGGCGTACTGGAGGAGTTCGGCAGAGGAAACTGGTCGAGCATTCACTGCTGACTGGGACATGGGCAGACGCAGAATCTCGCGACGCAGTTGGGCTAGGGTGCGGACGGAAGCCTTGAGGTGTGCTTCAAGAGCATCGGCCTCTGCACGTAGAGCTAGGATGCGGGAATGATTCGCCTGGTGCTTCTCGACTGAGGGCATTGTTAGCGTTGCGCAGAGAGGGATAAGGGCAAGGTGGAGAGGGTTACGCTGTGCTAGTGCCTCACTCAGGGCATCGTCGGCAGCTACGAGGTCGACGGCGGCATGCGGGGACGGGTTGAAGGAGACAATCGAGTCGATGAGCGTCGTCAGGGCCTTCTCCAGGCCGTCAAACCTGGGCTGCAAGACTGCATCCATTACACAGTACGGTCAACTCGGCGGACGGTTTCCACCAGACAACGCGCGGGACTCGGCAACATTGAAAGAAGTTGGGAGCACGGACCATACGCTCTCGGTCACATGACCCTACCATTCGATGTTCTCAAGTGCTCACACTTCCAAAGGCTGGAACTGGTCAACTGGTGCCACTACGGATACATATCTAGGTACTCCCTCCAGTACTGTGTACCCAGCGCACCACCTGCACATGATAACTCAAGTGCATGTGACCGGGCGGACGGATTCGTCCACGGGTGCGGGAAATTGATGGCTCCATTTGCAGCGTACATGTACATATATGTATGTAGACGGCTATAGGGCTGGCTAACTCGGCCATCCGATGGGCGCCAATAGCACGGCACTCTTGGAACTGCTAACCCGTGGTCTGGCAGTCATCACTCCCACTGTCGTGTACTACAAGTAGACGGAAATACTGGTCCTCTACTCCGTACTGTACAGAGTAGGTACTTGTACTCTCTTGCCGCTAGACTAAGTAAGCGTCGCAACGCTGCCGCACGCGGGCGGCTTCAGAGCTGCTTCCCCCAAGACACCTCTTTCTGCCCAGACCTCCTTGCCCGCCCATTCCATCTCCAGCTATACTTGTACATACGCTCCTCCACGACTTCCTCCTGGCACCTCACCCTCGTACCCGTCTCTCGACAGCATTTGCCCATCCGTCTGCGGCCTGCCCGCCCTTCACCCCATCTGCCATCTATAGATCGCGGACCGCGTGCTGCGCCTCGCCCACCCCTCCACCCTCTACCACCCCGAAGAAACAGAACCGAGTCCCGCCACCTCAAGGCCGCTGCCTCCCTCCGCAACTACCTGCGCGCTGCCCTCCACCACCTCCACCTCGTCTTTCGCTACGCACTCACGCCTGCTACACATTTACGGCTTCCGGTGCGCTTCGGCCAAGACCCGCCCTCAATCATGGGTAAATCGTAAGTGTGCACACTCCCCTCGGCCACCACCATCTATGCGCCCCACCTCTCCCAGCGCGCTGGCCCCTTCTACTTTGCGCGAGCCCCAAAGCGCCGCCCACCTGCATTCACTCCGCCGACACGTACCGGCCAGGAGCAAACCTCGGAATCATGGCAACGACCTGTGCACTCACCCCTTCCTCGCTTCCACGCCGGCGCTACCTGCATCCGATCCGCTGTGCCCGCCATGAGCATGGAGAACAAAACATACCGCTCCCAGGGAAACTCTTCAGAGCGCAAACCGTTTGGATCGCACGCCGTCCCTCTGCTTGCGGGCGAGCACCCTCCGCTCAAGTCCGCGCCGCTACACCATCAACATGTACCAACCTACAATGAACCTGGCTACGGACACTACTGCCAACGTCGACAGCCAGGACCTTTGCCGAAGAGTTGGCCGCGGGGCCGCATGTCGACCGCATTTGTATAGAGGACGAGACGCTGACTGTACACTACCACAGCCAGAGCAAGCTTTCCCAGCAGGAGCTGGCCGATCTCCAGAAAGCGACCCATTTCGACAAGAAGGAGCTGCAGCAGTGGTACAAGGGTACGCATGGCTGGCCGTGGGATGCAGACGCGGGCTGACCCGAGGCAGGTTTCTTGAAGGACTGCCCCTCTGGCATGCTCACCAAGGAGGAGTTCCAAAAGATCTACAAGCAGTTCTTCCCCTTCGGCGACCCGTCATCATTTGCAGATTACGTCTTCAACGTATTCGACGCGGATAAATCAGGCACCATTGACTTCAAGGAGTTCATCTGCGCCCTGAGTGTTACGAGCCGAGGCAAGATGGAGGACAAGCTCGATTGGGCCTTCCAGCTCTATGATATCGATGGCGATGGGAAGATCAGCTACGAGGAGATGCTGGCTATTGTCGAAGCGATATACAAGATGGTGGGCGTAGCCCAACTCATGCCTACTCGTGAATCCGCTAATGACTTCGCAGGTTGGCTCCATGGTCAAGCTGCCAGAAGACGAAGATACCCCCGAGAAGCGCGTGCGCAAGATCTTCAGGATGATGGACAAGGACGAGAACGGCAGCCTCGACATGGCCGAATTCAAGGAGGGCTCCAAGCGCGACGAGACCATTGTCTCGGCGCTCTCTCTCTATGACGGCCTCGTTTGATGCCGTACCTGGCAGACATTTGCCTCTACCTTGTCTCCATTATATCCCCTGTCGCCTTGATATCAACGGTGCATTTCGAACGGGTTTTGTTCTGCGTGCCTCGCGGCGTGCGGCTGGTGAAGTCTGATATATCGCTTCGGCGTACGGGACGGACACCACCATTGATGTATAAACGGAATGCTGAATGCTTTCTGGCTGCGACGAACGTCCAGCTGGATATAGCCTACTCGGGCAGGTCGTTCCTTGACGCCGGTATCGCAGTCGACAATAGAGGAATGAGTACTATTTAACATGCTTGTGGAAAGTGGTGATGACGAGACTGTATACTCTGGCATACCCGACGAGGTTACCTTGTCGATCCATGTACGATGACATAAGCGCTTGGCGACCCAGTGGTGTGGCTTCGCAAAGGTGTACGACTAAGCTTTGGACAGCTATCCTGTAGCCCAGACAGTCTTTCTCTCATTCCTCTCTCAAATTGACCTGAACCACCATAATCCTCCTCTAGCGCTGCGCACTTCTGCGTCGCGCGTGCCCTCCCTATTCCGCAAAACCCGCTCCACAGAACTCGGCAGAGGCGAGCGGCCCTACCGGACGTCCAGGAATTTCCACGAGAAGGCGACACTGCCCTGATTCCTCGACCGCATTGCGGTGACTGATTGCCAGCAACGCCCGGCGCTCTCGGCGCACCCCTTTACACATACGCACCATGCGGCGCCTCGACATATCACGGGGGAGCAGTCTCCTTGCTGCGTTTCTTGCTCTGACTGCCTCACCTACCTCAGCATTCTACTTCCCCGGTGTAGCACCGACGTCCTACAAGACCGGGGATCACGTCCCACTCCACGTCGACCGTATCACCCCCGCCGATTCCAACAATGATCCCAAGCTTCGTTCCGTCTTCTCTTTCGACTACTACTATGACAATCTCCACTTTTGTAAACCCGAAGGGGGACCACAGTACATCCGCGAGAGCCTAGGGAGCATACTGTTTGGGGATCGTATACAGACGAGCCCCTTCGAACTGAAGATGGCCGTAAACGAGTCGTGTAAGGCGCTTTGCACAGACCAGGTCTTCACACCAGAGGACGCGAACTTCGTAAATTCAAAAATATACATGGGCTATGACATCAATTGGTTAATAGATGGGTTGCCAGCAGCCCAACTGCTCCAGGAGGAGGGCTCGGGTCAGGTGTTCTACAGCCCCGGTTTTGCGCTTGGGACGGTGGACGGCGAGCAGGCCATGTTGCACAACCACTATGATATCTGGATCGACTACCACGAGGCGGGACCCAACCAGTTCCGAGTAGTTGGTGTGCTTGTGGATCCATTCTCTACTACAGGTGCGGCGCTCCAAGATGATGGGTCGTGGCAGTGCGGCGATCCCGAGCATCCAGTTGTCCTTAGCGTGGTTGCAGACACAAAGGTTACCTTCACCTATAGCGTCTTTTGGAGATTGAGCCCGACCCCGTTCGCAACTCGCTGGGACAAGTATCTCCATGTGTACGATGCGAAGATCCACTGGTTCTCTCTGATCAACTCTGCCGTCATTGTCGTCTTCCTGATTGGGATGGTCAGCACCATCCTGGTGCGTACGCTTAAGAAGGACATCGCCAGGTACAACCGTCTCGAGCAGTTTACGCTTGAGGATTTTGGCGCAAACGGGTCGGTTGAAGAAGGTGTGCAAGAGGATTCTGGCTGGAAGCTTGTCCACGGCGACGTCTTCCGCCCGCCCAAGAATCCCCTCCTCCTGTCCGTCATGATCGGCAATGGTGCCCAGCTCTTCATGATGGCAGGTCTGACGATTGGTGAGTGGTTCAACTGGAATGATCCCAATGGATTGACTAACATTCGTAGTCTTTGCGCTCCTTGGCTTCCTGTCTCCCAGTAACCGTGGAGCGCTCGGCACCGTCATAATCATCTTCTACACACTCTTTGGCTTCGTCGGCGGCTACATCTCCGCCAGAGTCTACAAGTTCTTTCACGGTGAATCCTGGAAGCAGAACTTCTTCTATACCCCTGTCGCCCTCCCTGGCTTTGTCTTTGCCGTTTTCTTCCTGCTGAATCTCTTCGTCTGGGCCCGTGGGGCCTCGGGCGCGGTACCTTTCACCACAATGCTCATCCTAGTCATAATCTGGTTCGTCATTAGTGTCCCACTCAGTTTTGCAGGCTCCTGGATTGGGTTTAAGCAGCCCGTCATCGGCACTCCTGTTCGCACCAACCAAATCCCCCGCCAGATCCCTCCGTCAGGAGGTTACCTGCGACCTATTCCCTCCATGCTCCTTGCTGGTATCCTGCCCTTCGGCGCCATCTTCGTCGAGATTTACTACATCATGAACTCGATTTGGTTCTCAAAGGTTTACTACATGTTCGGCTTCCTGTTCATCTGTTTCGGACTGATGATCATAACGAGTGCCGCCGTGACGGTCCTGATGATTTACTTCCTGCTCTGCGCAGAGGACTACCACTGGCAGTGGCGTAGTTTCTTCACTGCGGGAGCAAGCGCCTTCTACGTGTTTGCCAGCGCCTTGTTGTACTGGCTCAAAATGGTGAGCTTTGCAAGTTGGACGAGTGGCATTCTTTATTTGGGGTATAGCGCTTTGTTGAGTCTGTTGTTCTTCTTTTTGACGGGTAAGACACCTTGTGCTGATAAGGCTAGCTCAAAGAGCAGTAGCTGACGTTTTGACAGGTACCATTGGCTTCTTTGCCAGCTGGATGTTTGTGCTCAAAATCTATCGGTCAATTAAGGTTGATTAAGCGACTGCACGAATTCCGCCGAGTCTCTGCTACTGGTGGTGTAAAATTTCGATACTCGCTCGGGTTCGTTTACGGCAGAAGAATCTTTTTCCGCTGGGTTTCTCCCTCCGCAATCCGTTTATCCGGCTTTTGTTGGCTCTTGTTCTCCTCGAGAAGAGGCAAGGGACAACTCAACAGGAGCTTGCTTGTCCTTTGGCAATGTTACATATCTGTTGGTAGTCGCAGAGGGATGAAGCATTTATATTAGCATCTTAGTAGCGTATTTATAGCTACAGTCTACAGAATAATATAAAATCTAAATATTACCCTATAGTTTTCTACTTCTAATATTCTAGCTAGCTTACTTACTTCCTTAGAGGGCTTAGCTAGGTAATTTTTTTTATTTAGAATAGCTAGTATTAGAGTAAAGGCAATTTAGCTATATACTCTAGATATAATCTTAATAACTATATATAACGTACTTGATAAGCGAGCGGCGCGGACAAGCGAGCGGCGCGGACAAGCGAGCGGCGCGCATCGCGCGACCACACGCGTTACTACCTTCAACATGCGATGGATCAACCAACTTCCTCCCAATTACTTTTAAATGAGAGTCGAGTATTCCTTGCCCAATCTGCTATTGCACAAGGCCAATTTCAAAAGGTTAAACCAGCTGCAAGGGCATACGGTGCTCCTGAAACTACCCTTCGTCGACGATGTGCCGGAATCCCTTCACGATGTGACTGCACACCTAATTCAAAGAAGCTCACAAAGATCGAAGAATCCGTTATTCTTGAGC